TTGTTGTTTGTATGGGTGTATGTGTGACAGAGAGTATGTGTGAGTATGTGTATGTGAGAGAGAGAGAGGATATTTAACAGTGCATGTGCATGTGTTTGTATGTGCATGTATAAATGAGTGCATGCATGTAAGCATGAGTATGTGTATACAGACCTGATTGTGTAAAATCTTCAATCTGTTGAGATTGTGTCACCTTATGCATGAAAAATATGGATAAAATTATATCTGAGTGTGTTGTGTCCACATGAGTATCTGTCCCAGTATTGGGGGGGCCAGCGTTCACATGTGGCCAGTGTCACGCCCAGTCAACTCAACACAGCTTAAGGTTGACCCTGGGATCCTCTCCTTGTAACACAGTGCCCAGTGCCATGCTGGGTTTTCACTTAATAGCCCCATGTGCCAGATATGGGTTTGTTATAAGTGTGTGCATGAATGTACATGTGAATGAGTCTATATGCATGTGTGTGAATGTATCTGTATGCCTAAATGTGAACAATGCCTCAGTATGAACATACCTGAGTGCGAACATGCCTGAGTGTGAACATACTTAAGTGCGGTCATGCCTAAGTGAGAATGTGCCTTGGTGAGGGTGCAGTTCAAATCTGATCATCTCGTGGGTATTAGACAGTATGCAGCAGTAAAATGCAGAGGAAGAGAAAGAAGTAGAAGAGGGCACATAGACATGCAATAAAAAGCACCATAAGGGTCAAAGAAATCAGCAGTAGAACTGTCCAAAATAAAAACACAGGAGCGTTTGTTGGCTGTGATAACTACACAGAGGAAACTAGCAGGCCGCGGTAACACTGCCCGACCCCATTGATTCATCGCATGCAACCTCCCACACTGGCCCGGCAGAGACAATTCTGTCGTCCACACCCACACAGCCTCTTTGTCCTCAGGAATGGATGCTCGATGCTTGATTAAAGTTAAACCACCAAGGCTGCGCGGCTCAGATCTAACCACCGTTTCCAGAGAACCGGAGAGACCTGTGAGGGTTGTAGGGGTGGGACTCTCGTTAACTACATTTCTTGCATGCAATCCCTGCGTCGGTTGAGAAAAGAATAGAAAATGGAGGGGAACATACTGCAGTGTCCAAACCCCAGCACCTGCCCCATCACCTGTCCCAAGTGGTGCAGGCCCATTCAGCTGGAGTCCTCGCACAGATGATGCTGAGCTGCTGGTTTAGCCGACCGGGTCCTAACCATCGTTCGATAGGGGCTGCCTCCCTGCATAATCCCACGTCATTGTGAACAGATTCAGACAGCCTCAGTAATGCTGCTTCTATCTCTCTCTCTCACACACACACACACACACAACACACTGTCAGCTCTCGGGGGATGTGGCTGAAGCCAGTTTAAAGGGGTGGGGAGAAGGGGGATCGTAACAAACAGGAGGACAAAGGGAGTTAAAATAGAAAACAAAAACAAGACAGAGGAAGAGCATAAACTAAAAGGAAGGAAAAAAGAATCGGACCATTAATAGTAGGGATGTGAATAAAAATAGGGGAAGGCACAAGAGCTAGGATAGTGAAGTGTAAAGAGATAGAGAAGCTGATACATACTATAAACCCCCGCCTCACCGGTCATAGAGTCATAGAGATGTACAGAATGGAAACAGACCCTTTGGTCCACCTTGTCCATGCCGACCAGATATCCTAAATTAATCTAGTGTTATTTGCCAGCATTTGGTTCATATCCCTCTAAACCTTCCTATTCATGTAATCATCCAGAGTCATAGAATCGTACAGCACGGAAACAGACCCTTCGGTCCAACCAGTCCATGCTGACCATAATCCCAAACTAAATTGGTCCCACCTGCCTGCAATTGGCCTATATCCCTCCAAACCTTTCCTATTCATGTACTTGTCTAAGTGTCTTTTAAATGTAACAGTGTCTGCATCCACCACTTTCTCTCTTTCAAAAGTCAAACTGAAATAAACTGTAGGAGGAAGAATCAAACGAGGATAACTATGTACAAAACCAATATCTCAAACAGTGGAGAGCAACTGAGCAATCCCTACATTGACAGGGAGTTGGGGAAGTTGCAGGGCAACTTGTCATGGCCTGGCCATCTTTAATGGTTGGCCTCCTGAACACTTCGAGAAGGCAAATGACAGGTCGGCCACCACTGGGTGGGAAAGTCCAGCGACAACTGGAGGACCTTTGGGGATGATTGTTGGCAGTCAAGATGGTGAGGCTTTGATGTTTTCACAGAGAATGGAGGCGTTGGGGGGTAGGGAATGGTAATGGAGGAGGGTGGTGGACAGACCATGATTGGCAGATGGGAAGCTGAAGGCTTCCTTGAGGGATTGGGGGGTGGGCTCTATGGGGCAGCATCGAGAGGGGACTGCTGCTGTTTCTCTTGGCCCAAAACGAGTGCTAGTAAAGGCACATCTTCAAGAGTTGGTAGCCTCAGCCTCCTTTTTACTGACAATTCCCAAGCTATAGGAAACCCACTCGGCAACTGCTAAATTTAAATCAAGTCTGCCAACCACACTGATATAAATAACTATGTTAATCAAACAGTCCCACTCTGGAGGCCATGCTTACACACTGCAAAATTTGCTGCTGCAGCACCCAAGCAAGTACACACAGACTAGGGACACGTTCCCCATTAAAATATTTTACCTTACTCCTGGGCCTGTCATGCCCACCTCAGAGGCAAGCACTGGTGTGTTTTTCTTCCCCTTGTACTTACTTTGTAGATAGACATCAGGCAATAACTGCACATAAAGGACTGCTTAACACAAAAGTGCAAATGTTCATTTGTTAAGGATCCGAGAGATTGGAAGCACTGTTACAGATTGGGAGAAACTTGTAACAGGAGGCTGTGGCACAGTGGTAATGTCACTGGGCTAGTAATCCAGACTCCTAGACTAATGTTCTGGGGACCACGCCTCAGGTGAGGGGAGAGGTTGAAAAGGAGAGTCCTTCATGGCGGTCTCGAGTAGTGTGGGAATTGAACCAAATTGTTGGTGTAACCTTGTGTCACATATTAACCATCCAGCCAACTGAGGTAACCAGGCAGCTATGAGTTGGCACACTCATGAGTCAGAGTCAGAATGAGTCAGAACAAACTGAGACAAAGGATACAATCTTCCCCTCCTTGAGAAGTGGCAGTGAAGGTGGGGAAGGGCAAATAATTAGATAGGTTGGCATTGGGACTGTATAACCAGGCCCCTTCCTGTCACCAAAGAAATTAAGTTCTGGATGGGATGGCCCAAATTTGACTATCATGCCACACCACTATCATGAAGTCTCACGGCATCAGGTCAAATGTGGGCAAGGAAACCTACTGCTTTATTACCATGTACTGTCCTCCCTCAACCGATGAATCAGTCCATGTTGAACAACACTTGGAGGATGCACTGAGGGTGGCAAGGGTGCAAAATGTATTCTCTGTGGGAGATTTCAATTTCCATGAGAATATTGGTAGACAATTAAACAACTCCCTGGAGGAGGTGGCTCAATGATGGAAGAGCTCAGTACATCAGTGTAAAAGATAAGGCTGACGCATTCACAGCAATCTCCAGCCAGAAGTTCCAGATGATCCATCTCAACCTTGTTCAAAGGTCCCCAGCATCACAGATTTTAGTCTTCAGCCAATTAGATTCATTTCACATGATATCAAGAAGTTGTTGGAGGTACTGGATACTGCAAAGTGTATGGGCCTTGACTACATTCCAGCAATACTACTGAGGACTTGTGCTCCAGAACTTGCTGCTCCCTAGCCAAGCTCTTCTAGAACAGTACCTGGCAATATGGAATGTCCAGTACTCAAAATGAAGGATAAACACAACCCAGCCAATTACCGTCCCATCAGAATACTCTTGATCATCATAATGGCTGGAAGATGTCATCAACAGTGTTATCAAATAGGATTGGTCAACAATAACCTGATTACTGACCCCCAGTCATAGAGTCTTAGAGTCATACAGCATGGAAACAGACCCTTCAGTCCCTCCAGTCCATGTTGACCATGTTCCCAAATTAAACTAGTCTCACCTGCCTGCGCTTGGCCCATATCCCCCCAAACATTTCTTATTCATGTACTTATCCAAGTGTCTTTTAAATGTTGTAACTGCACCCACATCCACCACTTCCTCTGGAAGTTTATTCCATATATGAACCAGTCGCAGTGTAAAAAAAATCCCCTCAATGTGTTTTTTAAATCTTTTTCCCTCTCACCTTAAAAATGTGCCCCATAATCTTGAAATCCCCTACCTTAGGGAAAAGACACTTACCATTCAACATATCTATATACCTCATTATTTTATAAACCTCTAATAAGGTCACCTCTTAACCACTTATGCTCCAGTGAAAAAAGTGCCAGCCTATCCAGCCTTTCCTTATAAGTGAAACCCTCCATTTCCAGCAACATTCTGGTGAATCTCTTCTGAACTCTCCCCAGCTTAATAACTTCCTTCCTATAACAGGGAGACCAGAACTGGACACAGTACTCCAGAAGAGGCCTCATCAACGTCCTGTACAACCTCAACATAACATTTGGGTTCTCCCAGGGCCACTCAGCTCCTGATCCCAATTACAGTCTTGGTTCAAACAAGACAAAAGAGCTGAACTCCAGCAGTAAGGTGAGAGTGACTGCCCTTGACATCAAGGCTGCATTTGATCAAGTCTGGCATCAGAGAGCCCGAGTAAAACTGAAGTCAATGGGAAACAGGGGAAAAAACCCTCCACTGAAAGCAGTCATACCTGGAACACAGGAAGATGGTTGTGGAGGTCAGTCACCTCAGCTCCAGGACATCTCTGCAGGAGTTCCTCAGGATAGTGTCCTAGGTCCAACCATCTTCGGCTGCTTCATCAATGACCTTCCCTCCATCATAATATCAGAAGTCAGGATGTTCCCAAATGATTGTACAATGTTCAGCATTGTTCAAGTCTCCTTATATATTGAAGCAGTTCATGTACTAAAGCAGCAAGACCTGAACAATGCCCAGGCTTCATCTGAAAGTGGCAAGTAACATTCATGCCACAAAATGCCAGACAATGACCACTGCAATAAGAGATAATCTAACCACCATCCCTTGACATTCAAACCATCACTGAATCCTCAACTATCTCCATCTTGGGGTCACCAAAGACCAGAAGCTGATCAGGACTAGCCACATACATACTGTGGCTACAAAAGCAAGTTAGAGGGTCGGAATCCTGCAGTGAGTAACTCACCTCCCCAAAGCCTGTCTACCATCTATGAGGCAGAGGTCAGGAGTGTCATGGAGTATGTCCACTTGTCTGGTTGAGTGCAGCTCCAACAAAAATCAAGAAGCTTGACACCATCCAGGATAAAGTAGCCCACTTGACTGGTGCCACATCCACAAACATACACTCCATCCACCAAGGGTGCTTAGTAGCAGCAGTGTGTACCATTTACAAATTGCACTGTAGAAATACCCCTCTAAGTCACACACCATCTGACTTGCCAATATATCAACAATGCTACACTGTTGCTGGGTCAAAACCCTGGAATTCCCTTCCTAAGGGCATTGTGAGACTACCTCCAGACATGTACTGCAGCGGTTCAAGAGGCGGCTCACTGCCACTTTCTCAAGGGCAGTCAGGGATGGGCAATAAATGCAGACCCAGCCACTGACAGCCCTTGTTCAATGACTGAATTTTTTAAAAAAATGAGGCCCTTAAGTATTCAGTTAATGACCATCTAGGCTGTAAATACTTCAGGTCCAGGAAGAATAAGAAAGTGGTGAGGTAAGTGCATGGCGTTGTCATGTTCTGGAGGCGTTGGCCTTTGATTGGCCAGCAGGCGGGATTTTCTTACTTGAGTTGTAATTATGGCACAAGGTAAACTCGCAGCTGCCTGATTTTTGGCTCAGAGATTCTGAGCTGAAGGCCAATCAACAGACACTGCAATGCTTGAGGGAGTGCGAAAATTAGCTGAAAATATTTTTTTCAGGAGACTGTCGCACTACTTTGGACAGAGTGTTCTGATTTGGCCACTGATCCTCAGAGGCAGTAGTGTATGACCAGGAGTGAGGCATGTACAGGAACCCAAAAGGCAGGAGTGCTGGATCCTCAGCCTTTGCAATTCTCCCAGAATTCTTCAATTTACCTCAATAAATAGATTATAGTTTCAGGTAATCAACTGTGAACCGTCAGCATATATCTTTACCTGTTAAAACTGTAATACGCTATATACACCCCATCGTACATATACACCACGCAGACACACACACACAGACACACACACA